GCTCCCTCAGTACTGCCCCCCTGGCAGTGCGGCGCTCCCTCAGTACTTCACTCGGAATGCTTACCTGGATTTGCTGTTCAATGACCCATGGAGCAGTTTGAAGCAGCAGCTGTTTCTTGTTAATCAGGCTGTGCAGATGTTTGGCTGCAGTATATGTTATTTTCTGACGAAAGTCGATGGGATAGTTCGGTAACCTCAGACTGTGAGGAGATTTTGTGACTCAGCGGAGAGCATGCCTGTCTCTGAATCAGAAGATGTGGGCTCTCAAACCACTGAAGGACCTGTGATGAAACTGTCTGGCTTTTGACACTCACATGCCAGGAAAGAAGAATAAAAACTCCCAATCCAGGTCTGTTGGTTACGGAAGGAGTTTTCATGACCTGGTTCAATGGATTTAACAGTCAGCTTCCAAATCCTCCTAACACCTACTCAACAAAGAAAAGCTGTTTGTGTCTCCACAAGATACAAAATACAAAACCTCAACTGTGAAACACTCTCAGATCCTGTCTCGGTTCTTTGTGGCTTGTCAGATTCTGTAGTACTTGCACTGGTACAGAGTGTGGGTAACGTAGTTATGCCACATTGCAGCTTAGACAAGGAACCATGTTCGTTTTTTTAACAGTAACCTGCAGTGAATTTTCACATTGGATAAAAAGCAACAAGCCACTAAAGGTCAATTAACTCCACATAACACTAGACACCCAGTGTGTTTGCATTTTCCAGCACTTCCTAACATGTATCAACTCTCCTTCCTAAATGTGTATTCTGCGTTTGAACAGTATCTCTGCATTGAATTGAATTTCCCTTCCCTTTTTTTTATAATTCTAGCCTCATGACCATAACATGTTCTTCCTTGTAGTGGAGAGTAGGCCATTCTTGGACATCAACAAAATTTGCAAAAAACTTTTCTCACAATCATCTACTGTCATCTATCACCTTCTCCCCATATCCCTGACGCTTAAACTCACCTGATATCCCTCGCATCCATATTCACCCCTCTCACTTGCGCCCACCTCCTCCCGATGTCCCTCAATCTCACCTTCCCACCTTCTCCCAATATGCCTCAGTCTCACCCTCCCACCTTCCCATGTCCTACAATGACACTACGTGTCGGTTTGGGTCAGTGGGATAGGGGTTACCCACAGTGGGATGAGGTAATTGTGCTCATTTGCTTTTTTGCGACCAGGTGGTACAGCCTGAATCCATGACCTCTGAACTATTCTCAGGGACAGAAAGAATTCCTCAGCTGTGATTTCAGCACCACATTTGCGTTCATGAAACAGTGTCACCATAACGTTTTCTGACCCTCATTGACAAACTGTTAGCTAACTTACACCAATCACATTCAGGGACCTACTGAGCTGGGCCGGTTCACAGGTGTGTGACCAGGTGTGAGAGTCAAAACGTTCTTTGTGACTGATTCCAAACTCTCCAGTGCAGACTCTCTCCGAGTGATCCAGGTGTGGCTTTCTCTATCCTCCTACTTTTTGTTTGTGTCCTTTTTGAAATTAACCTGAGAGTCCTGGGCTATTGGATTAACTGGAGCAGTTTCTCCAATACCCTAACCGTATCATTGAGGACCATCCCTCTGCCCCAAGCTTAATGCTCAGTATATTTTGAAGCTGCTTTTACCATTGTTTCCAGCATGTGTAGGTTTTTTTTGTGATGCCTATAGCCCAGAAACAAGGCGTTTGGTCCACGTTGGCACGGTGGCTCAGTGGTTAGCACTGCTGCCTCACAGCACCAGAGACCCAGGTTCAATTCCAGCCTCAGGCGACTGTCTGTGTGGAGTTTGCGCGTTCTCTCCATGTCTGCATGGGTTTCCTCTGGGTGCTCTGGTTTCCCTTCTCAGTCCAAAGATGTGTAGGGTAGGTGGATTGGCCGTGGGAAATTGCCCATAGTGCCCAGGGATGTTTATGTTAGGTGGGTTAGACATAGGAAATACAGGGGCAGGGGAATGGGTCTGGGTGAGATGCTCTTCGGAGGGATGGTGTGGACTTGTTGTGCCGAATGGCCTGTTTCCACACTGAACGGATTCTATTCTATGTTGTTGGGTAGTCTTCACATGTGACTCCATCCACCCCCATTCTTGACTCATCAGTGTATTCTTTTGTCCCTTCCTTACTCATCTGACTTATCCTTAACTGTGTCTACTCTCCTTAAGCACCCTGTTGGAGCAAGTTCAATTTTCTGTCCGTGAAATGATATTTCTCATGATTTTTCTTTTGGATTTATTAGTGGCAATCTCACATTTCTAACTACCAGTTTAGCTGGACTGGTTTAGCAATCTGCCTGGAAATTGTGCAGGGCAGATAGATCCCTGATACTGAGGCTTGGCCACTCTACAGTCCCACTGGGGAAGTGGGCACTGCTGAGGGAGGTGAGTAAAATACAGGAGGAATCGGCCATGATCTAATTCAAGAATAGAAAGGGCTGAATGGCCTCCTCCTGTTGCTGCAAAGGGCTGAACAGCCTGTTGCTGTGTTCCGCGTATTTTCTAGGACCACCTCAGCGGTCTGGCGTTCCACCATCGAAGCGACGGCCCAACTCGGCCTGGCACGTGTTGCGGCGGCAGAGAATTACCGGATGGTCAATGTGGAGGCAGCGAAGACTGTGCGCTCGGCCAAGGAGCTGAGATTGAAAAAGGTGAGATGTTTGCTCCCCAGCTTTGATGAGGTTTCTGTCTCTTTCTGCTCTGAGCTGCGTATGGCTATTATTGACGCAGGGGATTTATGTTTAGGTGTGTAGCATGAGGTGTTATTGAACCCTGTCTGTAGCTGGCAGCCCGAACAAGAGGAAGACGGTTATTACCATTGACCCATCTCCATTTATAGAGCAATTGACCCTTGTACCTCAAGAGCAACTACTGAACTGATCCATCCTCTCTCCAGATCCATGTATCCATCCCAAACTAATCCCATTGCCCCACTCTGACTTCTTAGCCCTATATCAATCTTACATCAATCCTACTTTCCTACTCTTTCTCCATTGCCCTGAATGAATCCCAAACTAATCCCCACATTCTTCATAGTCCTGTATCAATTTTAAATTAATCCCACTGCCCCATTCTCTCCCAACAGCCCTGGATTAATCCCGGATGAAACTACTCTATCTCTATAGTCGTGCATCAATTCCAAAATTAATCGCACTGTTTCATTTTCACCCCACAGCCCGGCATTAATCCCAGAAAAAACCCAATGTTTACTCTCTCTGCATCAATCTTCAACTAATTCCACTGCCCCAGTCTTTGCCTTCGGGCTTGTATGAGTGCCAAACTAATCTTACTGCCCCATTCTCTCTCTTACAGATACGTATCAATCACAAAGCAATCCCACTGTTTCACTTTGATCCCTGGGCTGAACTGCTCTACTGTTGAGCGATTTTCCTATTTCTGTTTACATAGATACGTTATGCCATCAAACTGCAGTGAGTGTGATTACCAACAAACAGAAATTCATTGACTCTCAAACACAAGGAGGACGAGCACATTGTAATCCCAATGAGACCAACAACCCAAAGAGAAATGATTCCCCAAATTCCAATGAAAGGAAGCAATGGACAAAATCTGACTTAGTCTAACTACCTGGCCCAAAGTCAATGGACAATCAAGCATGTACCCATAGCCAAATGTATTTATACAGTCGTAGAATTTACAGCGTGGAAACAGACCCTTTGGTCCAACTTATCCATGCCGCCCAGACGTTCCAATCTGACCTAGTCCCATTTGCCAGCATTTAGCCAATGTTCCTCTAAACCCTTCCTATTCATATACCCATCCAGATGCCTTTTAAATGTTGTAATTGTACCAGCCTCTACCACTTCCTCTGGCAACTCATTCCATACATGCACCACCCTCTGTGTGAAAATGTTACCCTTCGTGTCCTTTTTAAATCTTTCCCCTCTCACCTTAAACCCATGACTTCTATTTCACTCAAAGATGATATCTTTGTAAAATAGTCAAGACCACACAAATACCCAGCAATAATTTACAAGTATCTGCATCAGTTGGCATACAGATATGGCATTATGTGCAATCTCACAGTCTTTACAACTCTGACACTAGCACATAGGATCTATTTTGCCCAATCGATGTAGTTGGTCCTCAAACTGCTTTCACTGGCACTCCTGTTGTACCTGGGGATCCCTGGGTAGAGTTAACACTGACAAGGTGCATATCTACAAACACCTAGCTCACTCATCTCAAGCCAATCTTGTTGGTTTAACTGGTCTGAAACAAGCACCTCCTGATCATGCCTGAGCTATTCACATCTATTCACTTTTAGAATTCAGTCCCTTTTAGTTTAATTGTGCATTGATCCACAGGAGTTCCTTTTTCTCCTAACACCCCTCAGAAAATGACCTCCTCATGAACAGCTTTGCTTGCTTCTCCTTACATGAGTCCTTACATGAACCCCAAATTAGTTCACATCTGTCTCTTCTGTACTGTATGTGACAATACAGTATCCTCAACCCGAGTCTAATGTATTGGGAGTTAATTGTCCTCATGTCCAGAAATCCCAACTGCACCTCTCTCCTCTCTGTGCAGGAGTCTTTTTCTAATTTAAAGTTTTAGCAAGGATCTGTAGCTCGGGTTGCGGATGAGGTTATTGACTTGTTCGCTGAGCTGCCTTGCTCTCGTTCAGACGTTTCGTCACCATGCTAGGTAACATCATCAATGAGGTCTCTGATGAAGTGATGTTGTTCTACTCTGCTTGGAATTTATACTGTCTGGTCCATTATGGTAAGTAGTGTCATTTCTGGTTTTGATCTGCATAGTCCATATACAAACCCACACCAAACAAAACCAGAAATGACACAACTCACGATATCAAACCAGACAGTATAATTCCAAGCAGAGTAGAACAATATCATTTCATCGGATGCCTCACTTATGATGTTACCTAGCATGGTGACGAAACGACTGAACGAGAGCAAGCCAGCTCGGCGAGCAAATCAATAACCTCTTTTTCTAATCACAGGCATTGACAAGATACAGGCCCATGACTTCTCCCAATCTCACGAGACTGACCCCCTGCTGTTTCTGCGGTTTATTTGGCAGTGTTCAGAGCAGCTGCTTAGGATTCAGTCGGAACTGACTGAGGCAGTGAAAGAGGTGAATAAAGCGAAGAAGAAGTACTGGCAGATGCAGAGGATTGCTGAGATCACCCGGGAGAAAGCAGCTGAGGCAGAGGCCAAGTAAGGAACTCACCGTGGAGTGAAACTGGCTGAAAGTCCCATTGGTCGGGGAAGGTGGGAGACCGGGGGTTCTGAAAAGTAGTTCTAGTTTCAGTTATATTTCAGTTCCTACAGCTTTCCTTCACCAATTCCTAACCAACAAATATGACTGTTTCTCCCTTATACGCAGGTCCCACAGACTGGACCCTCACTGGGGTACGGGGTCACACACACACACATTGACTCCCACTGGCATATGGGGTCACACACACACACTGACTCACACTGGGGTACGGGGTCACACACACACACGCTGACTCTCACTGGGTTACGGGGTCACACACACACACACACACTGACTCACACTGGAGTACGGGGTCACACACACACACTGACTCTCACTGGGGTACGGGGTCACACACACACACTGACTTACACTGGGGTACGGGGTCACATACACACACACTGACTTACACCGGGATACGGGGTCACATACACACACGCTGACTCTCACCGGGGTACGGGGTCACACACACACACTGACTCACACTGGGGTACGGGGTCACATACACACACACTGACTTACACTGGGGTACGGGGTCACATACACACACACTGACTTACACTGGGGTACGGGATCCCGCACACACACTGACCCTCACTGGAGTACCTGTTCCGCAGACACTGACTCTCACTGTATTGAGTACAACACAGAGAAAACACAGAAATACTGCTGTAGTTATCCTGCAAACGTTCGCCTCATTCTCCACATTTACCATGCTGTTGGAGATGTCAGTGTGGGGCAGAATTGCATCATGACTCAATTGGAATTTGTTTGAGAGCTCGTGCAAGGTCATCTTGTGGGGATGCTTCAGGAAGAGATCAGCTCCAGTCTCAAAAACCATGACTTCAGACTGAAAGACTTTTTTGAGTAATGTTTGGAGTCTGGTTGTGTGCAAGATACAAACTTCTCACCTTGTGTTCTGAACCAAAATAAGTTACGTCAGCTCTGGAGGGGGTGGTAAGCAGTATTGATTCCCTTCCGAGTTTTGCTAAGTTTCAAGTTGACTGCGAGAGGAAATTTTCAAGTTGTGTAACAAACACGATGACTCATGTTTGTGCCACAGAATCTCAAGCTTGTTTCTCTGAGCTAATAATGAATTGACAGGGTGTTTTTACCTTGTCCTTTTTAGGTCGAAAAAGAGCGAATTTGGAATATTTCATTCAAAAACCAGTCTACAGAAGCTGAGTGCGAAGGTAGGAGTGCAAAACATAAAATGACATGGCACAGGAACAGGTCACAGTTATAGTACTGCTTCTGAACTCTTTCCCTGTGGAAGTTTTCTCCCCCTTGAATATCTATTCAATCGATTTTTGGAAATTCCTGTTGAATCTGCTCCCACTGCCCTTTTATGCAGCACATTTCAGATCACAATTCGCTGCATCTATATAATAAATAGTCCCTTCTTGTACCTTTGCTTCTTTGATAAGAATATAAGAAATAGGAGCAGGAGTAGGCCATCTGGCCTGTCGAGCTTGCTCTGCCATTTAATAAGATCATGACTGATCTTTTTGTGGGCTCAATTCCACTTATCCACTCACCATAACCCTTAATTCCTTTACTGTTCAAAAATTTAAGTTTTTGCCTTAAAAACATTTAATGTGGCAGCCTTAACTGCTTCACTGGTCAGGGAATTCCACAGATTCACAACCCTTTGGGTGAAGAAGTTCCTCCTCAACTCCGTCCTAAATCAGCTCCCCCTAATTTTGAGGCTATGCCCCCTAGTTCTAATTTCACCCGCCAGTGGAAACAGCCTCCCTGCTTCTATCCTATCTATGTCCTTCATAATTTTATATGTTTCCATAAGATTCTTTTAAATTGCAATGAATACAGTCTCAGTCTACTTAATCTCTCCTCATAAGCCAACCCTCTCAACTCTGGAACCAGTGAACCTCCTCCATGTCCCCTCGGTGCCAGTAACATCCTTTCTCAAGTAAGGAGACCAAAACTGTACGCAGTACTCCAGCTGTGGCCTCAACAGCACCCTATACAGCTGCAACATAACCTCCCTGTTTTTAAACTCAAACCCTTTAGCAATGAGGGACAATATTCCATTTGCCGCCTTAATTACCTGCTGCACCTGCAAACCAACTTTTTGTGATTCATGCACAAGGACACCCAGGTCCCTCTGCACAGCAGCATGCTGCAATTTTTCACCAGTTAAATAATAGTCCATTTTGCTGTTATTCTTTCACCAATCACTTTATTCTGGAGGTAGTAAGAACTGCTGATGCTGGAGTCAGAGATAACACAGTGTGGGGCTGGAGGAACACAGCAGGCCAGGCAGCATCAGAGGAGCAGGAAAGCTGACATTTTGGGTTGGGAAAGGGTCCTGACCTGAAACGTTAACTTTCCTGTTCCTCTAATGCTGCCTGGCCTGCTGTGTTCCTCCAGCTCCACACTGTATTCTGGATCCCAGTTATTGACTCTCCTGCCACTGGCTTCTCATTTACTGTATCAAAATCCTTCCTAATAATGAACGCCACTACAAAACCTTATGTCAACCCTCTCTGCTTCAAAGAGCTCAAACTCAGCTTTAAAAGTCTCCTCATAATTGAGGTCCCTTGTCCTTGCCACCGTTCCAGTAGACCTGCTCAGCGGTCTCTCTCCCAAGACCTTGGTGTCCTTGCTACAGTACAAGATCACAACAGCCCAGCTGCTGCCTGACCATGTGTATTTTGCATTAAAGCTCTCTGCCAGATTGTCCGAGTGCAACCGTCGGGTCACAGAAGCTAGGAACGAGTATCTCCTCTCGCTTGCTGCGGTCATGGCACACCAGGACCATTACCTCCAAACTGACCTGCCCGTTGTGATGAAGGTACAGGGGTTGACAAGCTGCTTTGTAATCTCAAGTTTACACAAGATTGCGTGGAACACACACCATAAAACAGGCCACTGGACTTACCGGGCAGCTTTAACTGCTGCTTATTCCCCTCACTAGCTATTTCTCACCGTTAAACAACAACTTGTAAATCATCTCAATGGGAGAAAGTGCCATTAATTCAGATGGCCAGCCTAATGCTCCAGAGACATAAAAAGAAGTTGCTGGAAAAGCTCAGCAGGTCTGGCAGCATCCGTGAAGTGAAATCAGAGTTTATGCTTCTGAGGAAGGGTCACCGGACCCCAAACACTAACTCTGATTTCTCTTCACAGATGCTGCCAGACCTGCTGAGCTTTCGCAGCAATTTCTGCTTTCGTTTCTGATTTATGACATCCGTAGTTCGTTAGGTTTTTATTTGACGTTGCGGAGACATGGGTTCAAATCTTACCGGCATTGTTGTGGCATTCAAATCCAATTAATAAACCTGGAAATGAAAGCTTGTCTCAGTAATGGTGACCATGAAATGATCATCAATTGTTCGCAAATGTCCTTTGAGGAAGGAAATTTGCCAATTTGCCAAATTACCTGGCCTGCCCTACATGTGACTCCAGATCCACAATAATTTGATTCACTGACAGAACCATAGAATGTTTTAGCACAGAAAGAGGCCTATCAATGCCTGGGCCTGTTGAATAGACTAGCCACCTGTTCTAATCCCACTTTCTAATCCCACTTGGTCCGTGGTCTTGAAGATTACAGTACTTTAGGCACAAAGCCAGGGCTTTTTAAAAGCTAGTTGAGCAATGACCACCTATGAATGATAATAAATGCTGGCCTTGCCAGTGATGCCCACATCCCTTGAAAGTAAAAGAAAAACTTAAAACACACAGTAACCATCTTTTCATGACAAGATTAACAGACCATGATATCACATCAAACACATAGGGAGATATTTGGACCGACGGTCATAAATTTGGTCAGATGAGTAAGTATTATGGGCAGTCACAGAAGGAGGGAGAGTTTCAGCAGATTGGAGAGGGTTCCCAGAGCTTGCTAACAGCCTTTGGTGGTGGAACAATTAAAGTTGGTGTTGCGCAAGAGGCCAGAGTTGGAGGAGAGCCGAGAGCACAGAGGATTGTGGGATGGGAGGAGGTTCAAGCGATTGGGACATGTGAGGCCACGGAAACAGTTGTAAACTAGGATGAGAATTTTAAAATGGAGATGTGGCTCCCCATCTGGCAAATGTAAGTCAGTGAGGACAGCAGTGCTGGGGTGAGCAGTACTCAGCATGATCTCCAGCATGGGTTTGTGGAGATTTGTTTGAATTTGAGTCCAAGGGTGTTAGCAGTCAAGGGGCCTACAAGAAAAGCATTGACATAGTTGGGTCTCGAGCATACAAAAACCTGGATGAGATAGCAGCAGATGAATGTAGGAAATTAGGAGCAGGAGTAGGGCCTTGAGCCTTGTTCTGTGATTCTACATTCGCTGATCATCTAACCTAAAGACCACTTCCTGTGTCATTCCCCCGTCCTTTGATGCCACTTGTATCTAGAAATTCAACAATTTCTATCTTCAACATTGACTGAGTTCCCACAACCTTCCTGTGTAGAAGATTACAAAGATTCACAACTTTGAGTGAAGAAACTCTGCAACTTAGTCCTAAACAATTTGCCTTTTATTCTGAGACTATATCTCCTGGTTTTAGACCTTCCTTGCTAATATCCACCCAACAGCAGCATCCTTTCTGTCTCCACCCTGCTAGCAGTTTAAGAATTTTGTAAACACCAATGAAATTCACCCTTAATTCTTTTCTAAATTCAATACAATACAGACCCAGTCTCCTCAATCATTCCCCAAAGGAGAGTCCTGCTATCCTGGGAATTAGAGATAGTAGGAACTGCAGATGCTGGAGAATCCGAGACAACA